TCCTGCCGAATGCCGCATTTCAGACTTAGTTCTTAATAACATCCTGCTTCCCAGCAGGCGGTTTCAGAAGATTCTTTAGTCCGTGTATGCTTACAGCAAAATTTTAAAATCGCAGTTAGGCGATTGTGTTTTAGGAAGGCACAGGCTTACCTCAACAGCTATTTATTAGTCTGTCTGATCTGATAGTTACACACATTTACTGTTTACTGTTATGTAGAAAGCCAGAAAAACTGAACTGCTGTGAGGGTTAGTGTTGAACTGCAAATAGTAGGAAGGCTGGGGGGGTGGGGAAATAGATAAGTGAAGGCTGCATTCCGTGTTGTCCTTGGAAGGCGCTGACCAGCAGCGTGCGCCTTCGTTGCTGGTGACGAGGCAGGTGTAAGTATGGAGCTGCTGCCCAACGAATGCAAATGAGCCTCCCGATTCCGGAGGGGGTGACCCTCCCTCCCATCCACAGCCATCCCCTGTGGCCTTTATTAGCACCCACGTTTAGATGTATATGATGATGGTGTAAGAATTATTTCCCTTTTCCCACTCTGAAAGTAGTGCAGCAAAGCAGTACATTTAGTAAAGGCACTTAAACAGCCAAAAATCTAGTTATTGTTTTTCCCTTATGAATGAGCAATAAATGTGTAACTGATGTTGTTTTTCTGTGATTAACCCTGTGTGATGTGGAATTAATTTTACCTTTTATTTCTATTCATGCTTCTTGGAGAAGTAAAATGTTGTGAAATCTTTTGCAGCGGAATGTCAAAAGGATGCTTCTTGGAACAAACCAATGCCAAAGTGCATCAGGAAGTCAGTGCTAGTAGTTGCGAATTTGAAAATCTGTGTGTAAATATTTATATTTAAACCACTTGTTTTGTAAAGACAGTGATAGAAGTTGCAGTATGAGAAATATTTTCGTCTGCTTGGTAACTATTCCATTTCTTGTCAAACTTGGAAGCGTTTCCTGCCGGGAAGGGGCCGCGCTCCATCCCGTGCTGCGCATTCCTGAATAGCAGCCTGCAGTGCCCTGCAGGTGCTGGGCTGTGCGCGAGTGACCAGCTAAGCTCTCCCGTTGTCTATGTAGAGTTAAGTAGCAGGTGTAATAGCATGGCTTGCTTGGATTTTCTTTTAGTACCTTTAAGTTGATGAGGCAGAACCACTGGACTGTACCGCGTTCGTTGTGAAAATCAGATTACCATCTTTGTGTTATTCATATCTGATATTCAAAACAGCAAGTGCTACAATTGCTGTTTAATAGGGGGGAACAATAACAAAACTAGAAATGTTATGATAACCACGCAGTGTGACTGGCACTCCCTGTAGTTATTAATACTGACCTGATATTTATCTGTTAAACTGTTTACTATTTTAACATGCCTTGGTCTTGCCTGAGGGCTGCCTATTGCTGCTGGCATTGCAGATTAGCCCCAGAAACTCAGTTCAGTTCCCCTTGAAGAGAGTAAAAAGCTGAACCTTCTGTTTATTCCAGCTCTCTTTCGGAGAATGCAGCTCCATACATCACTAAATTGCTCTTGCTTTTAAATTGTTTGCCATTGTTTCTGACAGGAAAATTGAACCACGCTCCAGAAGTATTTGTGAGGGGAAAAAGCCACTCACTGCCCTTACTGCAGAGTAGGGGCTTGGGTATTTCTTTTTTGGTTTTTTTAAAAATGCTTAAACTGCTAAATTAGTTACTCTGTAAAATTACTCAAGATTCAAGACTGAGTTTTGGGAAAAACATTTTACAGTGTAAAAGCATAATTGTTCCTCTTATCTTTTAGATTAGAATATCCATATATTCCAATTACCTTAATTTACATTCAGAACAAATACACTTACTTCTCTATGCCCAAATTCCTAAGCAAAACAGTCTCTCTTGATTACAGAACTTTTCCAAAGGATGTATGTAATACTGACTAATGAAAATTGTACTCTAAATCAAATATTCATTTGCAAGCAATTTTACCATTCCAAAACAATCTAGGAATTACATTTATAATCATTAGCTTAATTTAATCCATACAAGCATAATAACTCAGCATCCAAATCTTAAGATGTTGAACATTTATTGCTGCATTCATTGTTGTGTGGTTTGTGGAAGGCGGAGCAGCGGCACTGTGGAGCGTATCTACGGAGGAAGGAGAGCCCAGCCTGGAGAATTTCCCCGGCGAGCGATGGTAATTACAGAGCGAGGAGGAGGAGGAGGAGGTTCGCTTTTGTGTGACAACCAGGTTCCAACAGCTGCTGATGGTGTAGCTGATCAAAGAAACCCCTCCGCTTTGAGGACTGAATTGGGGATTTTTGAACAAACGCTCATTTTGCTATGAAAAAGCCTAGGCATAAAAAAATTTTATTCATGAAGGTTATAAAAATGATCTTGTCACCTTTGACAATGCTATTGCCTTGGTTAGACTGGAGCATAAAGCCTCAATTAGTGCCAGCATCACACCCATTTGTTTACCAGGGAAAAAGAGATTTCAAACGTGAGCAAACGATGGGGTAAAACTGGGGCGAGGAGCTCTTCTGTTCTGCTGCTGCACACGGAGGTGGTAGTCATCAGCCAGAGCGCGCGTACGGACCTGCACGCAAACCAACCATTTCATGGAAAAACCCCTTCCGGGCCCAGCGGAGAGGCTGCGTGCTGGAGCCGAGGGGGGGGCGGCGGAGGAGCCCCGTGCTCCTGGATGCTCAGGCCAGCGAGTGGTTTATGGTGGCGTTTAGGCTGGGCTCTTGGGGGCAGTACAGGAGTCACCGGTTCCATCCCTTATAATTCTTAAAAGACTGTTATTTGTAATTCCTACCAGCTATTACTTAATTACATTAATAGCCACAGTATTTAAATACTTAGAAAACACTAAATCCACAATGTTTATTAGGATTAACAGTTCTTAAAAAAACAACAGTTCTGTTAAAAAAAAAAAGTATCCGAACACAATATTAATTTCTGTTTTCTGGCCCAGCAGCTGTTAAAAGACCTTTAGTTTTACAAAATTGCCGTCTGCCTAAAGAAGGCAGTACTCCGTACTTAATAACGTCTGTTTTGTTTTCTTTTAAATAGCGCTGTGGATTCCTGCAAGACTGCAGCTTTTGAACGAACACACGTGCAGCGAAAGCGTGCAGAGCAGCGAGGTACCTTACACCCCTCCCTCGTGTATCCCGGTCGTTGAAGAACCCCAGCAGCACCAGCCGCACGCTGCATTTGGGGGCGTTTACCTACAAAGCTGCACCCTTCCAAGTACCTCAGTAGGTACCTGCTGTATGCAGCACAGGGACAGCTCCACAGCCCTCGCCTTAAAGAAGTTCCTGCCATCAGCTGCAAAAACTGTTTTTCTGAATGTAGTTTTATAAAGAATAAGCTTTCACATTCAGATTTATAATTTCAGTATGTGTTCAGCTGACAGCAGATTCTCAGAATGAATTAGAAGCAATGTTATGAAAAACTGTTTTGACTATAATATGTATCACCTTACAATTACATAAACTTCTTTCTTGCATCTTACATTCTATCTGTATTTCTCTGGAATAATGTAACTGAAATCTCTTTAAAAAAAAACACAAGACTCCAAACACTTCAGTCTGTTTTCAAGAGTAGTTTATTTACTCACTTATAAACACTAGAGTATGCAAAGCAGTTAGAAAATACTTGAAAATAATTGTAAAATTTTCAGGGATTTTGTTTGAGGGTGAAGGAAGGCTAAAATTATTAGCAAAGACTACTCAATGCTGCCAACCAGCCTCTTAAAACCTAAACCTGGACAATTTAAACAAAATTAAAGCCATGCTAATTACAAAAACTTACCATGAAGTTTCTTGCAGGGGGTCACAGTTAGTCTTTGCAGGTCCAAGAATACCATTTTTAAGTGTTACTCAGCAGAAGTAGCTGGTAATAGTGCAAGTGCTAAAATGCAAAATTCACAGATGGTACAGAGTTTGGAGATTATTCTGACTTAGGTGCAGGAAAAAAAAATAAAAGAATCTAAGCAACTTTTTGCAGTGGGATGCAAACAACGAAAGTGTGGGGTTACTTTTCAGCCTGAGTGTTTGGAACCCCTCCTTAAACCCTTTCCATGTACACTGAGTCCCAGCTGCGTTTTTAATACTGCAAGTGGAAAACTAACAGCAGTGCAGTTTTGTCCGCTGTTTAGGTGGGTCTTCTATTCACAAGCCTCAATATAATATGCAGTAACGAAGATATAACTTGAAAAGTTAAACAGGTTAAAAACCGTGTAAATCTCCGTATTCAGAACGTTCACAGCTACAGCGTAGCAGTATGGTGTATAAAAATTACGGATCAACCTTCAGTGGGTTTCAAGCGCAAACAGATTAAACAATTCCTCAACTCCTCTACCGCCTGTGGAAATAATCTTCCACTGGTTTCTGCTGAAACGTCCTGCTCTTTGTTAAGAAGCTACCTCTTCGTTGCCACTTCTCACCTGTAATAAACTTAGTTTTTCAGGTGAAGACTTCTGTCAAAGTCTCTGTACGTTTACTCATGCTTTATTCAGCTGGGAAGTCTTTCCTGTGACTAGGCTTCTGGGCTGGAAGTGGTGCAGAACCCTACTTCCCACGAGTGGACTGGCTAAAACAAGTTAGAAACAAACATCCCCAGAGGAGATGCAAACACAGCTCGACAGCGTTTGTCTCCCCCAACCCACTTCTGATGAGGAACTCCCAACTCCTAAAAGAACAAGTAAGTAACGTTCCTTGGTACAGATGCAATCTGGAGGGAACTGCTTACCATTCTAGGTGCGGACACCCAAACGTGTGGGAACTGGATTTTAGATATATACGTATCCCTGAACAGTGCAAAAATACAGTGGATTAAAGTTGGGTGTCACGTATCGATACAGGATGAGCGGTGGCTCCGTTTGACTTGTCAACTTTTAGAGCATGCTTGTCTGAAACAAACCGAATTACTGCAAAAAAGCTTTACAGAAGTTCATCTCAAAAGGGTAAAATTAATTAACTGCTATGAATTCTTTGCATTCAGGGCTGCAAAACAAAGACACATATTACTTAAATCAGTTTTATTTAAGAATTTCCTACAGTGACAAATCTTATAAAAAGCATCCAAACACGAAACTGCAGCAAACAGCATTCTTATGGATATCTTACAGACAGTGGAACTTCCACCCTGGAGAGGCACACTGAGCTCGCTAGTGATCTCTGCTACAAGAGCTACTGCAAAGCACACCACAAGCTCAATGTTCTCATCACAAACCCCATCATCTTCAATTCACGTTACCACACTTACAGATCATTAACAGAAAAAAAAACCACACACCATACAGCATTCACAGCAGTTGACATAAGGGAAAAAAAATACAAATATTCATTTCACATAACACATTCAACTAATTGATTAACTAGGTATAAAACCCACTTAAAGTCTTCCACATGTGGATGTCCTTTGAATGCAATAAACACTCGTACTTTATTTGCTATCATTGCTCTCCGCACACTCTCTCACCAAAGCCACAGGATTGAGAGACATCTCGCCAAGTAAAATAAAATCCCATAATGCACCACCAGGTCTCTGCACGCGCTCTCTCCTTTATCTCGCACATACCAGCCCTCTCATGCCTCGGCACCACCATCAATCCCACACAAGGTTTCAAAAGTTCAAACAGCCTTCTGGTTCCATCTCACAGCCTTGCGTTCATAGCGTTGATACGACTCCATGAAATAAAGAGTAGCGGATAAAAATGGAACACCCACCGTCTAAGACGCAGCATGTGCAGTGTGATGAAGTATTCTTGGATGAGAAAGCATGTAGACAGAAGTATTCCTAAGGCAGAATATTTACAGCACTGCTTTCAATGAAGTGCTTCTTCCATACACATTTGAAATGAGATGAACTGCGGAGATTAAATGAAGCCTTCATATCGTACTTTAGTATGGAGGGGAGACAGTGTTCAAAAAAAACAAACACGAAACAAAAACGACACCGTGTTCTCCAACGGGGGCACTTGGAGAGTCTTATGGTGGGATCAAATTAAAAACAAGAGGGAGAGAATGCTGTTTCTGACCAATGGTTTCCATTTTGAACATGCAAAGAATTCAGGTAGCCAGGAAACAAGGGATAAAGTATTACAGGAGAGACCTTTCCTATCGATTGTAGTGTTAGTTTACCTATCGGGCAAACAGCAGTCCGCTTCCAAACATTCAGTATTCCAACAAGATATGTAACAAAACTTACAAAATTCCTTTTACCTTTCTTTTCTTTTTCTTTTTTTTTTTTCTTTTTTTTTTTCTTTTTTTTTTTCTTTTTTTTTTTCTTTTTTTTTTTCTTTTTTTTTTTCTTTTTTTTTTTCTTTTTTTTTTTCTTTTTTTTTTTCTTTTTTTTTTTCTTTTTTTTTTTCTTTTTTTTTTTCTTTTTTTTTTTCTTTTTTTTTTTCTTTTTTTTTTTCTTTTTTTTTTTTCTTTTTTTAAAAAAGAAAAATGTCAAAAATACTGCTGAATATACTGCACACTGAACAAAGTGATCTGGAAAATTTTAGTATATATGTAATTTACAGTATACTTACCATGAGTTAGAAAAATTTGATTTCCCACCATAGAGTCAGTATCAGAGCCCACTGCGTCTACATCCCCCAGCCTGACGATTTGGAATCCATGCTTGAACCAAAGCCTCCGTTAAACCCACTGCTGGAGCCCGCGTTCGAGGCCGAACCCCAGCCTATCGCTGCCCCCGAGTTGGAACCGCCGTAGGAGTTATTGCCTGAACTAAAGCCCTGGTTCTGCTCCCGCTGCATGTTGCCTTGAGGCTGGTTGTTTCCCGACGGCCCCGACTGGTTCTGCTGACTAGCCAGCATGCCCATCATCCCCCAGCTGCTCTGCAGGGCTGCCTGCGCTGCTGCCATCATGGCAGGGTTGATGCTAAAGGCTCCGAAGTTCATCCCTCCACCCATGTTACTGCCCTGGTTGTTACCCAGTCCTCCCCCACCGCCTCTGCTGTTGCCAAAACCCCCTTGATTCCCAAAGCCTCCCGGATTACCACCAAATCTTCCGCCTCTCTCTAACTGTCTATTGCTATTGTGCTTAGGTTCAGCATTGGATATATGTACGCTGATTCCTTTAATGATCAAGTCCTCTCCACAAAGAGACTGGGCAACCTATAAGAAATAAGGGATTGATTAAATGTATGTTAGACTTTTTTTTTAAGCGTTAGTAGTACAAGACAAAAAAGCCCGCACGATTCTGAGCAGATATTTAACCTGCAAAGGAAGCATATGCATATACTTAATCCAATTTGAAGTGTTTTATCTTCGCATTCACTACTACGCTAACTGCAGTATAAAAACCCGTCTGTACAACAGCATCTGAAAAGCGCAACCTTAGGCAACTCAGTAAATCAAATCAAGCTAATACCACTGGAATTCTCAAGACAGTGGACAAGTAAGTGTTCCATGCGTAGTTCCAGAAATAATGCTTTATCAAGCTACTGAAACGCAGGCTGTCTAAATATGGAGTTAAAATATATTTTAAGACTTACCTGGTCATCTGCAAATGTAACAAATGCAAAAGCTCGGAAGGGTTTAGGAATGAAGACATCTACCACTTCTCCGTACTGGGCAAAGAACTGTCGGAGTTCATCTGCCGTCATGTCCTCAGTGCAGCGCCCAACAAACACTTTTCTGCTACGCAAAGGTTCGTCAGGACTTTGCTGGAGAGAATTGAAGAGAAAAAAAAACAAAAAAAAAAAATCACAACTATCCTTGAGAACCAAGTTACATTACAATAAAGGCCCCTTTTAATGTAGCCTGTTCTGAGGACTGAAGATCAAGAAAGTTTGAGATTGTAAGTGAAAGACTTAAAAAGCTCTGGTCAGAGAAGACGCCTACACCTTGGTACAGATGGAGAAGTCACAAGAAAATGAAGACGGGAGCAATACACAAGAACAGGAACAAGGCCACTGCAGAAGGACGCTTTTTTTGGTAAGAACTGCATATATACACACAGGAAATAGAAGCTTCGGGTTCAGTTTTGTATTCAAAGACTCATTCTGATCGTCCCTAGCTTAGTTATTCCGCCTGCTTTATTCTCCATTTATTCACGCAGCAGACAAGTTAAGCAGGTACTGCTGGACATTAAAACACATTCTTTTCAGATTTCCATTTGTACTTAATTCCCCCACATAACCAGCTATTTTCCTAACACTTCTTTCACTTCCTGCTCACCCACCGACTCCCCGTTTTCCTTCCTTGCTCTCACTCGTCCTGTCCGTTCACAGACTGAAAAGCCAGATCCAAGAGTGCATTATTCATCTGCTCACCTAACACAGTTGCTAAAAAAGTGCACTTTGAGTGTTCGGTAAAAAGAAAACTAACAATAAATACGAAAGTACCTTAGAATTGGGAAGTTTACAGTCACACCATCTTCCATCTATCATGTGCCGCTGAGACATTACTTTCACCTGGGTTTCATAATCCGTAAACCGAACAAAACCAAAACCTTTTGAGTGGCCAGTTTTAATATCCTTCTTAACCTAAGAGCAAAAAAAAAAAGCAGACTTTTAAAAAGATCACAGAAACAGTGCACACCTGTATTTGTGACTTAATGACGTGCTATTTACCAGTCATCTCCTCTATCAACCTTGGTATTAAGATCACCAGAAAAAGCATACGAAAGGTTTTGATTATCTCACTGTATGTGCCTACCTTTTCTTACAAAAATTACTGTAATATTATATAGCCAAAGCAGGGGCCTGTGACACCTACAAATTATTAGCTTGCCTTGAGCCCAAGCATAACCAAAAATGGGCTATAAATATTTTGTCATATCGTGATGGCATAGCCAGACCAGCTGTATAAGCAATGTGACCACCAAAACCCGCGTAGCTGCGCACAGGGGCCATGCAAGTAACAAAGAACAAGCCAAGTGTTCAGGATCTGGTGAGATTCCCCCTTCTGGGAGGATAAAAACACCACGCACAAAGACAGAAGAAAACGGAAGCAGGTTTGTCTTCTGCCATCGCGGAGCCCTCGCGCCTGGCCAGGCCATCTCGGCAGCTAAGGCCGTCGAGGTCCCAGGCACCCACGCTACCCAGGCTGCACTCAGCTGACGCAGGATATGTGCGTTGCAGAGTAACGGCCTGGTGTAGGCAGTCATAACACAGAAGCAACCGCCAGTATGAAGCATGCTGTTACGGAATGAATTTAGTGAAGTTCTGTTTGAGATTTTTATCAGTCTTGGAACACTCCCATCACAGCAATCTCCAACTCCTTAACACACGCGCGCGCACACACACACACGCACACACGCATTCAGCTGCAACAATTAATAATAGTAATATAAATTAAAAAGCTCTTAAAAACACTGTACCCATTAAGCTGATCTGCATGAATTACCACTCCCAAACATCCCTGACCATCTGTACCTACACAAGCTTGCAGCTACAACGCTCGTGGGACAGAACGCAACCTAGGAACAGAGACACACAGCTTCAGATCTTCTCCGAGTTCGTACAGCTTTGTTTCTACTGGCTTCGTCAGAAGACCGAGTTCTACCTAATGTCCCCCCATATTTGGGCTGCGAGAGGATTTTACCTGCACCATCAGAACTTCTCCAAATGTACTGAAATATTCCTTTAAGTCTTGTTCAGTGGTTTTCCAGGGAAGACCCAAGACTATTAAATCCGAAGTCTTCTGTACTGCTCGTTTCACTTTCACGGCTGATGATGCATCTGTTTCATCCATTTTTCTCTTATTATCTGAATATAAATAAGTACATAAGACATCATCCTCAACTCTGGAAACTGCTTCCACTGATTATCAACCGCATGGTATAAAAATCACAGACTAAAATGAGAAAAAGTACAGACTACAAAAGAACACATGCCAGCTGCTGGGAGCTTATTATTATAATCCAGATCCAACTGTCTACAAGTATAAGGAGAGAAGAAAGAACAGTTTCCACTTAAATCCTCGTCCAAAATGCAATTTGCTTGAGTTAGTTTTGTGTTAGTTTACTGAAGTATTATCCAGTAACATTCACAGTCCTATAGGGATGTGGAGAAGACAAAAATATTGCATTAGCAATTTACTTCCTCCCCCCCCTTTTTTTTGGGTGGTGGGGCAAGGTGGTCAGACTCCTCTTTTCCTGAGCATTTGTTTTAAATGGTACCAAACCATGGCTTGAGGAGAAGCATCTGTGAGTACACAGAGATCCTGTTACACCACAGTCTTCAAAGATCTACTCAAGGCTGCAAACCCTCCAAGGATAATGCAAGACTTTGTCATTAGAGTGCTTGTATGGGTAGAGAGTTAAAAATTTCGCTGCTCATCTGAAAACTCAGTGGGGTCAAATCTACTCTGCAGGACAGACGCATGAATAAAATCGCTGAACTTCTGTAAATCAGAGGGTTCAACAGTAATACTGTAGCCACGTTAAACTGGCAGTGACTCACACGGACCTCTGGACTGAAAAAGCGAGCTTGTATGAAAAAGGCGAAGGAATGAAGACAAACCTTTGGGATAATTCACAACATAGACCAGGTTTCCCCATCCGGCCTCCGGCGCATGCAGAATGCCCTCCACCAGCCGGACCCCCCTCATGCACTGCGACACCGGGTTCCTGTAGCGCAGCCCGCAGGCCCCGGGGAACTGGGCGGTCACGGTGGACAGCAGCACGGTGCCGTCGTCCTCCGAGGGGATCTCGATGGGCTCATCGTTCTCGTCCTCCGTCACCCGGATATACTCCGACATCTTTGCTGGAAGCTACTAAAGTACAGGAGAGGGGGGAAGTGGGCGTAAGCCATCACCTTGTTCCCCTCGATCTGGCTTTCACCTTTCTAGCCTTAAGCCCATCTGTGTTTATTACGCGACAGGGTACACCGAAACGCGTTACTCATTGACGTGAACGCCTCGGGCCCCGCCGTACCGACAGACGCACGGACCACCCCCTCGCCCGTCCCGGAGCCTGCGGAGGGACCGACAACGACGGCTCCCCGAGGCGCGGAGGAATTTCCCAGGGCC